ATTTGAACCGCTGAACTGCTGATCTAGCAGTAGCTTGCAGTGCTGCATTTAACCACTGTGCCACCTTGGCTCTATATGATGAATGTGAGCTATTCACGATTATCCACAGAGAATGCTGTGCAGCAATGCTCTCTTTTTTACTTCAAACTCACTAATGGTTGAGTTTCCAACACTCTATTCCTTCAGATTCCAAAAAGGGAAATACATAAAATCCCCTTCTGGATGATGTTGCATATGTTATACCAGTGGTGGCTAACTTTTTTGTCATCGCGTGCCCACACCCATAATGTGATGTGTGCATGACACCCCCCCCAGCACGCCCTTCCCCCCTGCGCATGCGTGCATGACCGCCCATCACCACAGCCCATTTTGGGCCTAGCAGGTCTCCCTCCAGCCTCCTGGGACCAAAAATGGGCCATGGGGGAAGGGCCCCCACACCTCCCCAAACTCCCCTCCTCCCCCTGCGCATGTATGCACATTTCCCACATGCCTCTCACCTCCGCACATGAGCAGCAGAGGACCAAAAATTAGTTGGACAGAGGGAGGCATGCATGCATGCACAATGGAGCTGAGCTGGGGTTAGGCTCATGTGCCCACAGAGAGGGCTCCGTGAACCACCTGTGACACATGTGCCATAGATTTGCCATCACGGTACTATACTATTCTAAACAAGTAATATAAATTATACCCACACAAATGCATGTTGTTTCAGTTGGTTTACTTTATTGATTAGCCCTTCGGCCATATCAAAGTGTAGAGTTCCAGCCGCAAATTATTATTAAATCTCATAAAAAACAATTTAAAATGGAATTTGATAAAATATAATTTAAAATGAATTTGGAATAAAATACAGTTTAAAATGAAATTGGAATAAAATACAATAATTTAATATATAGATAAATACAATATGATCAAATTATATTTCAGTGTCACCCCTAGTATCTACCCCAATCAGTCCCCCATATGCCAATCTCAACCGAACCGTTTTGCATAAGTACTGTGCTGTGTTAAATGTTATTTCCAGATTCTGACTGCACATAAGGTAAGTTGTTTTGATACGGGGAGCCCAATGGGTCATTCATTTGTTTGTTATATAGACCAAATGAATGCATGTTGTTAGAAATGTATATTTGTGTGAGTTTCTTGCAAAATATTTTTGGAGGGAGGGGGCAGCTGGAAAAAACGATTCCTAAAAGAGCTAACCTTTGCATCAGAACCCTAAAAAGCATTTCGATATTTAAGATGCCAGATCAGTCTTGCAGTAACTTACAGTGAATATTTTCCATTCCTCACTCCACGAAATTCATTAAAATATTGTATGGGTGTCAAACTGCAATGCTAACAAAATTGGCATGGAACTGGCCTAGTGGAAGCATGAGCTGAAAAGCAGTACACAGGGGCCATCTCTAATAATAAGAGAGTCTCACTGACTTAATATCAACTTGCTGGAAATGAAGTTTTATCCATATGAAATCTGTTGTGGCCCAGCAGGAGCCGTTGGAGCTGCCACCAGACTCCGACAGCGAGGGGCCCTATGAGTCGTCTCTGGAGGATGTGGAGGACCCTGGACAGGGTTCCGACTCCAAGCAGGGNCCTCAGCCCTTCTCTTCTTCTCCACCAACATTGAAGCATGTGATCACTTTTTCTGTTCAAGGCTCAAGCCATGTGGCCCTGTCCAACAATAAACCATCTTTCCAAGCAGCCTCCATGTCTCCAGTGTCTTCTTCCCCACTTGGAGCTGAACCCAGGAGGACATTTCTTTCATTAATACAATATATTATATCCTCTAAGACATCAATAAAATCTAAAACAATCTTCATGGGTTTTAGAAATAAACTTAGGGGGAAAAAAAGGAAACTAGTAAAAGACAACTGCAAAGTTATACCGATTGGGAACTGTAATCAAATGAATCTTTACAGACTGGAGAAAAACTAACTTATGGAAAAGAGTTTTAGTTACAAGCTGAAGAAGATGGGAAGAAAGCAAATAATTATGACTGCCTCTTACTTTCAACAGAAACAATGGAGTCCAGGCGTGAGAGACAAGAAAAGAAAGTGTTTTTTTTTTTAAAAAAAAAAGATAATCCACTTTAATTAACTCAACTCTAGCTAGAAATTTACTCTTACTGTTTGCAGGACTATGTTTTTACTGCAGACAACTTTACCTGAGGGATCACACACTTTCTTCTCCTTTAACCAGACTCTGTCTGGAATATTGTTTCCAGTTGTGTGCACTACATTTTGAAAAAGATTGAATTGAAATGGAACAGTAATAGTGAAGGCAATGAGGATGATCCAGGAATTAGAAGCACAGACAGGATGAAAGAATGTGAGTAGAAAAGACTAAGGGAGAGTCATGATAGAAAATTCTGAAAGATATCACAAATTAAAAGAATAGTTAGTTAACTACTGCGTAATTGGAATTATGGCTACGAATAAACTTTACAACAGTTCTTTGGATCCAAATCTCTCAAAATGCTTCAGAGCACTTTGGGATTTTTAAAATAAATATACCATCTATTAGCATGGTGAGATTTCTCTACTATAACTCTTCCATATTAAAGGGGAACCAACAGCTTTCAGTAGTATTCTAAGTTTTGGGGTAGCTAAATTTACCTGTGAAGTGGCAGTGTGCATTGAAAGAATTAAAGGCAATCTCATTTATTATAAGCTAAATCCCCTTTGCTTTCTTCTTTGTCTCCAATTATGTCCCTAATAAAGTTTTTGCTATTAAAACTGGTTATTTCTTCTTTGTAACTTAGTCTGGTTAACCCATTGATTTAGGACGAACAAGATTCTGGCATCAGAATGGATGGATGAAAAGGAATAAATGAGTTGTAATAACATATAGCCAGTGGTGGGATTCAAATAATTTAACAACCAGTTCTCTGCTCTAATGATTGGCTGGGTGGGCGTGGTCATAGTGGGCATGGCCAGGGGATGTGATAGGCAGCACTTGGCTTCCTGCACCCATGGGAGCAAAAATTGGCTGCAAGGAGGGGGTGCCCCTCTGCACCCTGTTTTGGGCCTAGTAGGCCTCTCTGCAGCCTCCTGGAAGCAAAGAC